TATATATATATATATATATATATATATATATATATATATATATATATATATATATATATATATATATATATATATATCATGTTTTATCATTATTTATAGGATTTCGCTAAAAATGAAACAATGGATGTCAAAAGTGTGTGTGAATTTCTTTTAACAAGATGTGAAGGAAAAAAAAAACATTAAAGTTGAAAATACCGACAGTGACAGCGGCTGCTATTTGTTATGAGTCAAATTTAGGTCGAATGACTTATACTCAGCGGAGAAAAATGCTAAAAGCAAACAGTATTGATGTATTTCCAACCTGGAATGAAATTCAATTGTTCCGAAATTCTATCACTTCATTGACAACAAGTTATCTTCCAGATTCTGTTGGTGTCTATGCAAGTTTTATTGAATCTACCAAGATTACTATTGAGAGAATTTTGAGGCTTGAAGGTATTTCCGTTTCTTCTAGAGGAAACAGCATTACACTAAAAGTAAAATTTGGCTACGATAGAAGTGGTAGACACAAAATTTACAACCAACTGCACAATGTTAACACAAGCAACATTATTATGGCAATGTTTTGTCCACTTAAAATTTTAAATCATAAAAGTATTAGATTGTGGGAACAGCAATACCCTAACTCTACCCTACAATACCCTAACTCTACTAAGTCTAACAGCAATACCCAACTCAGAGTCTACTCAAAGGCCACTTATGATTCAAATGGGGAAAGAGTCAAATGAAAATATCCAATCTCTTTCTTTATTTAACGAAGACATACAGTGTATGAAGGAAGACGGAACTATTGTTAAGCATAATCAAAATGATTACCATGTTAAAGTAAACATTGTCGCTCATAGTTTAGACAGAAAGGCTTCAAATACTTACCTTGCAGGTTCATATTGTGATCTTTGTGACCTTTCAAAAGAACAATGTGAAAATATACAAACAGTTCAATATGGTTTCATCATAAACAGGGATGTTAATCCATGCAACAAATATTTCTTGACTTAGTAAATGAGGACGGGACCATTTTGAAAAAAAAAAAGGATTACGAAATTCAACACGGTCAAACTACATGTCCAATTGCATGTTGGAATGTTAGGTCCATTCAGGTTTTACATGGTTTGCTCAGGAGCTTTGATCATTTTATGATGGTAGTTGTTTACATGGCGGCTGGTGTCTTAACTTGGAAAGAATCTAAGTTAAACAATAACACAACATTGCTGAAAGAAGAAAAAGCAAGACTACAATAAATTATCAGAGTTAAATCAGGAATAAAAATGGGATTTTGCAGAATCAACCGGAAAAAAGGGCAATACAACAACTGTAATGTAATAGGTCAATATAGAAGATTGCTTTAAAAGACTTTGGCTGGGGTCTGACCCATTAGTTGCAGAAGAACGGAGCAAAGAGCTGTTATTTTGCAAAAACTGCTTGGATAGAGGGCATTCTAAACACTCATGTATGCGCAGAAGTGCATCAGCTGATGATATATTAAACAACCTTTTTGTTTGTAAATAAATTAATTTTGAAACATATGTGTATTTGTTAATTTTTCAAAACCAAGTTCTTAGACTTTAACCTAAAGTTGACAATTTTAAAACTCATTTTTTTTAAAAACCGCTAATGGGGCCAACTTAAGCATAGCAGCAAATAAAAGCTTTTATTTTGTATTTCAGAAATCATGTAAGGTTTAGTATGGCGCCATTAGCAGTTTTTGAGATATTCACCGAAATGTTCAAAAACTATAACAAAATCATGTGCAAAAATTCACAGTTTTTATATACATTTTATGAAAATTATCCAATTTTCTTTTTGAAATTATTATTAGCCAGAAAAATATTTTTTTATGTAGGCTCTTTATCCCTTATTGTTAAATAATAATTTTCCAAGTTTTAGATCAATAATCTTTTTTTTTTATTACTTTTTTCCAAGTGATACTCAAAAACTCTGTTGGGTTTTAAAGTGTGTTTTTTCTTCCAAATTGTTCAAGTTTGCATAGCCGTAACATTTTAAATAGATGAAAACTTTAACTTTTTTTTTATAGCTTAAATCTGCATGCTATTTAATACAAAAATTAAGTTGAGTTTTAATTTCAAAAAATTAAATTTTTTACTCATGTCCACCATTTAAACCACTGTGAGACAGGCTTGAAAGTCTCCAACTGAAAATTACTCCTTTCTTTTGCACTACATGGTTTCTGGTTGATCTTGTCCACTTATTGTTAGTAAACGCCATAAAAAGTTCAGAAAAGCAATTGTTTTTATTCCCCACAGTTATCAGCATAAAAGTTGAGTACATCATACTCTTGAAGAATGGTAGAATTCTTTTTCTCTAGAAATTCACTTACAGGAAGTTGCAAATGTCTTAACTACTGTAAGTTTTCACACATTTGTGGAATATGCTGACACAATTATATAAAGAATTTTTTTAAATTAATTAATTTTAGTAGTTAAGATATAATTATAATTTAATTATTGGTATAAATTGAAGTTTATTAATTTGATCATTCATTTCTGATGAGTTTTTATTGATGAAGCATAGTGTAAAATAAAATTTTTTTTGTTAAGTGATTTTCTGCTACTTTATATATATATCTATATATATATATATATATACATATATATATATACATATATATATATATATATATATATATATATATATATATATATATATATATATATATATATATATATATATATATATATATATATATATATATATATATATATATATATATATATATATATATATATATATATATATATATATATATATATATATATATATATATATATAGTAGCAGAAAATCATACATACATCAGGCTTTCACAGGAAGACGTGCGATTTCACGTCTTTATATGACCACGCAAATTACATTTTGCTATGATGGTTTGACCACGGCTTATTCAAAAAACGTTTTAAAAACTGAAAAGCGCTAAATAAAAAATATTTTAAAAAAGTGAAATTAATTACATCAAAACTTCTTAACAAATGTTTTTATATTAGCGAAAAGATTTTAAATAAAGTAACAATTTTTGCTTTAACTAAGTATTTTTTTTATTTTCTCTTTCGTTAATATTTATTATTTTTAGAATTTTTGTAAGTTTTTGTAGCGCGTTTTTAAGTTTTAAAAATATGCTGTGGTCAAATTATTAAAACATTTTTTTTTTGCGTGGTCATATAAAGACGTGAAATCACACGTCTTCCTGTGAAAGCCTGTACATATACATATGTATACATACTTATATACATACATTTAAAATACTAAATATTTTATCGAAAGCCTTGAATTTGAAGGGGTATCTCAATAAACCTGAAATCTTTGAGAGATTGAAAGATATAACAAAATAACTTTAATAAATAAACTTTATAAAGCGCTTTAAATGGCCTTAACCTCTCCACCTTTATCTAATGCACGATAAAACCTATCGGTTATTACTGTTAGCAAATCAGCCGTAGAACGAGAAGATCGAAATCCATTTTGATGATCAGAAAGTAGGTTATGAGATTCAAGATGAGAGATTAAGTGTTTGTTAATTAAAGATTCAAAAACCTTGCTTATGATAGGAAGAAGACTAATGTGATGGTAGTTAGATAAATCGGATCGCTCTCCAGAATTTATAAAAATAGGGATAACAGATGCTGCTTTCCAGCAGGCTGGAAAACAAGACTCTGATAAGCACTTGTTAAATAGTTTTGAAAGGATAGACAACAGCTCCGGAGAACACTTCTGTAAGACTATAACAGGTATGTTGTCCAGGCCGCAAGCTGTAGAAGAGTCTAAGCAGGAAATCACTTTAGATACAGAAGCTGGAGTGATATGGATGTCAAGCAATGAAACAACCTGTTTGACGGCTATATCTAGTGGAGTCAAGATATGATATTGATGAAAAGTTCTTAGCAAACATTTCAGCTTTGTCTTTAGGTGAGGTGACAAAGTCTGAACCATACAAAATAGGTGGAATTACAGACTTGCCCTTATTATTATTACTATCAAAGATTCTCTAGAAGTTGCGAGAGCCTAACTTTTGTGATGAAATACGAGATTGCATGATCTGAGAATAGCGGGTTTTGGCGTTAGAAAAAACCTTTTTACAATGGTTCCTAGCAGTAATAAACAGACGTCTGTTTTCTGGAGAATTGTTTTGTTGATAGATATAGAAGTAATGGTTTCGATTGGCAATTGCAGTAGCACAATGCAAGGAAAACCATGGAGAAGAGTGAGGCTTGACCTGGAATCGTTGAGAGGGAATAAAGGATTCCATGCCAGCCTGAATTCACAAAGTTATGTAAGAAGCACATTTGTCAATAGGAAGACAAAAGATTTCTACCCAGGGGCCATCACGAAGAAAATCACTGGAGTCCCAGTCAGCTTTAAGGTAGTTGTAAGATGTACGATGATAGGAGGATTCTGATGATAAAGAAGAATGAGATAATAGTTTTAGAGAGATTGAACCATGATCGGATGCACCTAAGGGTGAGTGTGGAGAAACTGAGCACTGACTAGGATCAGAAACAAGACATAAGTGGAGTAGAGAAGGTAAATGATTCGGTTTATCTGGAAAGCGAGTTGGAAAGTTGGAAAGCTAAATTTTCTCTTACTGATTTGTTAACATTTAGAATCAGTTGCCTTTTGATGTTGGAAATGCTAATGAAATAAACATCTTTAGGAGTAAAATCAATTTCAAACAATTTCAAAAAGTTATGTTTATATAATCAAGATCAAGACTGAAATATATATATATATATATATATATATATATATATATATATATATATATATATATATATATATATATATATATATATATATATATATATATATATATATAAAAAGACCTGAATATTATTGTTTTATAATATTGAAATCATAAAAAAAAATTTAAAAATAAATTTTCATGTTAAATGCATATACTTAATATTTTAATACAAACATTTAAAAGGTTTTCAATGTTAACATACTATATGAAAACCAACAATTTATTTAAAAATACAAATAAAAAAACCTCTAGTTGATATATTTTTTCTTCATAATTGATTTTAGCAACTGAATCATAAATTAAAGGAGATCTCAGATTCTGTGTGACACCCTTAAAGTATCATTAAACAATAAATGCATACAAAACATCAAAATTTTATAGTGAAATCAAAAAAACAAAACTGAAAGTGCTTACTTGGGTATTATAAGTGTCTGAGTATTATTACCTGAGTACTGTTCGAGTTATCTTCAAAACTAAAATTCAATTAAATCATGATGATAATAATCATCATCGCCATGATCATTGTAAATTTTAAATAACTCAAAAAATCTTTACCTGTGAAAAGAATGCTTTGAAAGATCAAACAACTTTTTTTCATACTTCTAAAAGAAATATAATTGTTGCAATATTAGTACAAGGAGCAAAAGTATTTATGTATATATATATATATATATATATATATATATATATATATATATATATATATATATATATATATATATATATATATATATATATATATAACATAATTGCTGTAATTAAATTAATTTTTTTTATTAAAAAAATAACTCAACCATGTTGAAAAATGTTTTAATATAACAATATTATGGAATTTCACTATGCTCTCAGTTTATTAAAATATTAACAACATACAAGGTTTGTTCAATAATTAACATACAAGGGTTTTTTAATAAATAACATATGAGGGATGTCCAATAAATAACAAGAAAAAGATACTATTACTCAAAAATGGTTTATTCAATCAGTACAAAAGTTTTGTTACTTTTCAACATATTTCCCAGCAACACTTATATACTTGTACCATCTTGGCCTTGGCATAAAATTCTTTGGGTTGATCACAAAGCCAATTTTACACCTGATTTTTAACATTTTCATTGCATTAAAAATATTTCCCTGTAGACCCTTTTTAAGGGGAAAACAGATGGAGATTTTCAGATTGCCCTATCAGAAAAAGTCTGATGGGGCAAGGTCAGGGCAGTATGGAGATGTGAAAAAATTCCAATCAATCTGAAAAAATCAATTAAGAACTCATGGCATTTTATTTAAATGGCAAACTTTAATTTGTTTTCCAGTATGTCACTGTACTGGTTGTTGATTGTTCTTTGGCCTTCAAGAATATCATTGCTTTAAGCATAACTTTACCGTAAGCATTACTTAAACAACCAATGGCTGGGTCTTTTTTTGATTGGGAGAAGTTGTATGGTTTCACGCAAGGCAATATTGCTCTGGCTCATATTGGTGAATCCATGTTTCATCACACATAATTCTTTTAAAAAATTTTTTTTCTTCAGGCAAACATCAATGTTTCAATTGTTGACTGATTTGAATTCAAGTTTTTTTTCTGAGCGCCCATGAGTTAAGGTGCCCATTTTGCACAGATTTCCCTGAACTGCAGCTTGTTGAAAATAATATATAGGCAGCTCCAACACCTGCATTACCCTTTTTCCCTTATTGCCTTATTACAGAGATTCATAAGAGGAAGTCCCAACTTGGACTGGTCCTCCTCTGCATTGTGAAACTGTTGCATTCATTTGTAAACCTTCCAACAATACAAACAATTATCTCTGAATTTTATTAGCATTCTCTTGTGGAAATAAAATCTGACCGGTGCAACTCTCTCTTTCACAGTGCAATTCTCAAGCGGACTCGCCATCATTAAACTAAATTTGAAGTTATGTTTACAAAATATTATTAAACAGCTGCTCAGATGTCATTGCAAGGTTGCCAACTTTACGCCTTGAAAGTTTTTTTTTCAATTCAACCATTGAGTAATAATCTTGTTAAATTTTTTTATTCCCTCTTTTTTATTGAACGACCCTCATTATTTTTTTTTATTGAATGACCCTCTTTTTTTTTTTTTATTGAACGACCCTCATTTTTTTTTTTTATTGAACGACCCTCGTTATTTTTTTTTTATTGAACGACCCTCATTTTTTTTTTTTATTGAACGACCCTCGTTATTTTTTTTTTATTGAACGACCCTCATTTTTTTTTTTTATTGAACGACCCTCATTATTTTCTTTTTATTGAACGACCCTCATTATTTTTTTTTATTGAACGACCCTCATTATTTTTTTTTTATTGAACGACCCTCATTTTTCTTTTTTATTGAACGAAAAACTGTTTTAAAAAAAAAATCTTTATCACATTTTCTTAGAAAGATTTTTTCATTTTGATGTTTTATATATCATAGGTCAGGTCAGGTTTATCCTGCTACTGGTAACATGTAACCCAGTACAATCTGCTTCATGTCCTGCTGCCTTGTACAATACGCCTTTTTTAGGCAAAGGCTAGGAGATGCAAACTCTGACATAAAACACCCCCTGTCTTGGGGCTCTTGGTTGAGTAAAGGCTAGAGATGGTGTCTCGATAAAAATACTCATCTTGGGCAGATGTTACATGCACCCGGCTACTGTCTTGTAGAAGGCCTCCAAGGCAAAGACTTAAGGGGTAAACAGATTCTATCTGTTACCAGCCTCGCACCCCTTCTTCATCTATTAGGCTGGCGCAGATGTATTTTTAATACATTGTTTCCAGTTTAGGATGTTGAACGCTGGATCTTCTTGACTCGATACATGGGTTTTGCTTGTGTCTCTGTTTTTATGACTTGGCAACTCATTCTATTATATCCAAATGAGGGTACAGCTCTAAAACTCAGTTTTATGGTTCTGAGGCCGCTTGGTAGTCAGGTTTCCCGAACTCTGTGGTAGCTCTCAGAGAGGCTGATTCAATCAACAACTGAAAAATATCAAAGTACTAACAGTGCCATGTTGCGCATGGATGGTGTCCCTGTTTGTACTTTTGGTGTGCATTGCCAAGACCACATTAGAGCCCTTTGTTACGGCTTAGGGTTTATTAATGGAAACAAGGCAATTGCTTGGGCTATTAAACAGTGTACTGAGTATTATCTATGTTTCGAGTCAAGTTCTTTAACAAATCTAAAAATGAATAAAGTAACAAAAACTATAAAACACAAAAAACCACAGTCATCACCAAGTTTGCTAAACCTATCATTCACTAATATTCGTGGTCTTCGAAGTAACTTTTCTTCTGTCTCATCTTGTCTCTTGCAAAGTTCACCAGACCTACTTGCTCTTTGTGAGACTAATTTGAGTTCTTCTGTCTCATATTGTGATCTTAGTGTTGATGGTTATCTTCCTTTAATTCGTAAAGACTCCGAATAATGACATGCTTGACCTGGGCATTTACATTCGTAAAAATTCACCCATTTGTCGGGAAACTAGGTAAGAATCCACAGACTACTCTTTTAAGTGCTTTCGTTTAGCACCACTTCACTCTATCACCTTTCTCTTTGTTCTATGTCTCTCTCCCTCATCTCAAGACTGCACTCTTCTTGATGTTAATTCTGATCATATTGACCAAGCCCTCTCTCTTTATCCATCAGCCAATATTGTTGTTGTCGGTGACTTTGATGTTCATCACACTGAATGGCTTGGCTCTAGTGTCAGTGACTCTGCAGGCATTGAGGCCCACAACTTTTGTCTCTCTCAATCCCTAACTCAAATAGTCAACTTTCCAACTCGCTTTCCAGATAAACCGAATCATTCCCCTTCTCTTCTCGACTTATGTCTTGTTTCTGATCCTAGTCAGTGCTCAGTTTCTCCACACTCACCCTGTGTGCATCCGATCATGGTTTGGTTCATCCGATCATGGTTTGGTCTCTCTAAAACTATTATCTCATTTTTCTTTATCATCAGAATCCCCCTATTATCATACATATTATCATATACAACTACCTTAAAGCTGACTGGGACTCTTTCCGTGATTTTCTTCGTGATGGTCCCTGAGAATAATTCTTTTGTCTTCCTATTGACAAATGTGCTTCTTACATAATTTCGTGGATTCAGGCTGGCATGGAATCCTTTATTCCTTCTCGACGATTCCAGGTCAAGCCTCACTCTTCTTCATGGTTTTCCTCGCATTGTGCTGCTGCAATTGTCAATCGAAACCATTACTTCTATATCTATCAACAAAACAATTCTCCAGAAAACAGACGTCTGTTTATTACTACTAGAAACCATTGTAAAAAGGTTTTGTCTAACGCCAAAGCTCGCTATTCTCAGATCATGAAATCTCGTATTTCATCACAAAAGTTAGGCTCTAGCGACTTCTGGAGAATCTTTAATAGTATCAATAATAAGGGCAAGTCTGTAATTCCACCTATTTTGTATGGTTCAGAATTTATCACCTCACCTAAAGACAAAGCTGAATTGTTTGCTAAGAACTTTTCATCAATATCATATCTTGACTCCACTAGATATAGCCGTCAAACAGGTTGTTTCATTGCTTGACATCCATATCACTCCAGCTTCTGTATCTAAAGTGATTTCCTGCTTAGACTCTTCTACAGCTTGCGGCCTGGACAACATACCTGTTATAGTCTTACAGAAGTGTTCTCTGGAGCTGTTGTCTATCCTTTCAAAACTATTTAACAAGTGCTTATCAGAATCTTGTTTTCCAGCCTGCTGGAAAGCAGCATCTGTTATCCCTATTTTTAAAAATTCTGGAGATCGATCTGATTCATCTATTACCGTCACATTAGTCTTCTTCCTATCATAAGCAAGGTTTTTGAATCTTTAATTAACAAACACTTAATCTCTCATCTTGAATCTCATAACCTACTTTCTGATCATCAATATGGATTTCGATCTTCTCGTTTTACGGCTGATTTGCTAACAATAATAACCAATAGGTTTTATCGTGCATTATATAAAGGTGGAGAGGTTAAGGCCATTGCTCTTGATATTTCTAAAGCGTTTAATAAAGTTTGGCATGCTGGTCTTCTCCATAAGCTTTCTTCTTACGGTGTATCTGGAAACATCTTTAAGATTATTGAATCCTTTCTTTCCAATCGTAGTATAAAAGTTGTCCTTGATGGACAGCACTCTTCTTCTTATTCTTTAACCTCAGGGGTTCCTCAAGATTCAATCCTTGGCCCTGTACTCTTTTTAATATACATTAAGGATCTTCCAGATATTCTCACATCTAAGGTGGCATTGTTCGCTGATGATACTACCATTTATTCTTGTCATAATAAGACACCAACTCTCTCTGATTGCTTGCAAGGGGCATTTGAGTATGAAAAGGATCTCACTTCTGCTACAGCATGGGGCTCACAGTGGCTTGTGAACTTTAATTTAGATAAAACTCAATTTTTTTTGGCCAATCTTTATCGCAATAGTTTAGACCTTCCTATATTTATGAACGGTAAAGTACTCGATGAGTCTCCTACCTTTCATCTTCTAGGATTAACTCTCACTTCTGATCTTTCTTGGAAACCTTATATCAAATCCGTTGCAAAATTAGCATCTGCTAAAGTTGCATCTCTTTATCGAGCTTGACACTTTCTTACTCAGGATTTTATTCTCTATCTCTATAAATCTTAAATCCGACCTTGTATGGAATACTGTTGCCATATCTGGGGTGGATCTTCTAATGATGCCCTTTTTCTTTTAGACAAGGTGCAAAAACGCATTGTAAACATAGTTGGACCTGCTCTTGAAGCCAACCTTCAACCTCTGTCACATCGTCGTAGTGTTGCTTCTCTTTCTCTTTTCTACAAATACTATAATGGGCACTGCTCTAAAGAGCTAGCGTCTCTTGTGCCATCTACTTAATTTCATTCTCGTGTTACTTGTCATTCAATTAAGTCTCATCCTTTTTCTGTTACTGTTCCTAAGTGCTCCAAAAACTCTTATTCGCCTAGTTTTTTTCCTCGAACATCAGTTCTTTGGAATTCGCTTCCTTCATCTTGCTTTCCTGATTCATATAATTTGCAATCTTTTAAGTCGTCTGTCAATCGTTATCTTGCTCTACAATCTTCATCTTTTCTCTTCCAGTAACTTCCAACACTAATTAGTGGTTGCTTGCAGCCTTGTTGGAAGTGAAGATGTTAAAAAAAAAAAAAAATTATTAGATAATTTTTTTTTTATTATTATTTATATGTATTATATTAGATATATAATCAGGTTTTTTCTTCATAAATTTCATTGACTTAAAATATGAATGAATTGAACAGTAGTTCAATTCATTCATTCATCAATTAATTCATATACAATCCTAAAAAGAATAATGTAACCTGTATGATTTGATTTTTTTTCAGAATTGCATTTTTTAATTTTTCGTTTTCTTTTTGTAGCCTCTAAATAAAAAATAAAAAATCAAATTATACTCAACTATTACATCAGTAAAAGAAGAAATTTATAAAATACTAAAATTTATTATTTAAATTAAGAAAATTTTAAAACCCGTTTTTCTATAAAAGATCACTTAGTAAAAATAATTTATATTTATTTAGACACCACAGATAACAAACTCAAACCACACATATAAAATAATAACACACATCAGATAAATAAAATGTTATAAATAAATAAAAAACACACACCACAACCAATTCAAACAACAAGTTACACTGCTATCAATACCATACGGTAAATTATACTTAGTATTGGAAAGCCTGATTTCAAATTATGTACCACTGATCTTACTTTAAGCTTCGTATGATGTATCTGGGAAAGTCATTCCTTCCTAACTGCAATATAAACTCTTTCATTTTTAGTGACTTATGTGGTACCACAAGATACAACTCTTAGTCCTTTGTTGTGTCTCATCTATATATAGTGATCTTACTGATAGTTTCACCTTGAAATGATTATATTTGCCGATGACACAAATATATATATATATATATATATATATATATATATATATATATATATATATATATATATATATATATATATATATATATATATATATATATATATATATATATATATATATATATATATATACATACATATATATATATAATTAGATTGTTAGAAAAGTTCTTAGAACTTGATCTATAAAGTTATAATAAGACATAAACAAATAAATGTTAATATATTATCTTAAACTGTATTTTATAATGAACATTTTAAGCACTTGTTGAAATATTCTGAATGTGTATTAAAAAAATTATTTGAATTTTATTAAAATGTTTAAAAGAAAAAGCTCTACATAGAGTTTCAGCACAAGCCATAACTGATGAATTGGTTTTAGCTCATAGTGATCAAGCATCAAAAATAGTACAATTGCCTAGTAGGCTACTTTTTTAAAAAAAGGTAGAGAGAGTCTCGAAATATAATTCTGGCTTAGGGCACCCTCAAACCTCAAATATAAAGCTGAGAATATTGAACCTGTGCAATCCATTATAAAAGAAAATCCTCATACAACACAAAATATAATTGAAGCCCAGACATTAGTTAATCATTTTACAATCAACAAAATTGTTTACAATGGTCTTAAAAAAAGAAAACTAACATCACATAGGATACCCCATGAGTTAACTGATCTAAAATTGCAAGAATAGAATTGAGACATGTAAGGAAAATTTAGCTCTTTTCAGAAACATGCCATGGAAACTATGTTATATTATTACAGGGGTTAGTCTAGAACTACTTGGGTCGGTAAAGGTGAGTCTAAGAACTAATGTAACTAATAAAGTCTAAGAACTAATGTAAGATGCAACAGATTTGATCCAAAAAACACGTTCTACATTTTCTTCAAAACAACAGGTGTTGTTCATTTGAGTTATGTTAAAAAGGGAGGTACCATTACTAGTCAATATTATATTTGAAATTGATTGAAACCTCTTATATGCAAAATGAATAAGCAAAAACCTAAAACAGGGACTCAAAATTTTATATTTCTTCATAATAACACTCGAACCCCTGTAACTCAAAAGCATCACAAATTGCCTTAACCAAGCTGGAATCAAAATAATTGCCACTTTCCATACTCAGCAGACTTAGCTCCATCCGATTATTGGCTATTTAACTTGATAAAAAAAAATATCTTGATAGCGATACTAATTTTAAAAGTCAAAAAAACTGTATAATGAAGCTACTTCAAAGTATACCCAAAGAAAATTATAAAAAAATGTTTGACAAATGGCTTGAAAGGATGCAAATTCGTAAAGATAATGATGGAAATTATTTTAAACATACAATAATAAAAATTAAAAAAACTTTTTTTTTTTTTTGTATAGGGGAGTTCTACAAACTTTCCTAGCAACCCAAGTCTATATATTTTATTAACAATACCGAACTTAATAGTGTTAGTAGTAGTGCCCACTTAATAAAGAGATCAAAAGTAGCAGTACCAATAGCTGAAGGCAGCCATTAAACACAAGTTAAGGGCAAGAAAGAGTCACTCATCACTTTTCTTTATAAGGAAGTATAAAAAATATATGTAACTTATGTAAATTGATACCAATTGATATGTAATTTACCTTTAATATTAAAACTCAAATAAATTTGTATACTGTTAAGTACAAACGTCAGTAAGTGCAATCGCCATAAGGTTGAGTTTGCAGATCATATATAAAACAATTGCGTATATTATAAATTTTCAGAATTTTCTCAAAATTATAATTTTTTTTTGCTTAAACTGTTTTGATTTGTAATTAAAAAATCGACAATATTGAAAAGTTACATAATGGTAGAGAGGACAGTGCACTAAACCACTAAACTACTGAAGATATACCTCATATTGAAAAACAAACTGTTTTATGAAACTTTTATATCTATCAAAAAATGACAAAATTTTATCCTTAATAAAAAAAGGAAAAAATTACATTTAAATCAATTACAATTAAATTTTATTATTGATAACAATATATTATAATCATGTTGCAATATATTATAATTATAGAATATATATAGAATATATCAATAAAACCAAAGACAGTGTTTTCTCCACAGAAGAAATTAGTCTAGAGAAAAAAAAAGGTCAAAAAAAAAGGTCATCTAAGGCTCGATCTACAATAAGAAGAAACTTCAAAAGCTAAAGTCATAAGTGACATTAGAAAATTATTTAAAAATTATTAACAATTCTAATAAAAATAGTTAGTGATACAATCAGTGATATCGAGTGACAATGATAACAAAAAAAAATCAGAAAATAAAAGAATCATGTTTAACAAAACAAATGCTGTCATTGATTTGATGAACTATTCACCATTATTGCTGCTTGTATTAATAGTAAACAATAAATTATGAATATTAAATTTAACAACCTCATTGATTAATTTCAAAAATCGATATAATAACCAAAAATCAATATAATAAACTATTTACTAATTTTCAATAAATTTTATTAATTGAATCATCATTTACTACTTTTCAATAAACTTTATTGTTATTAACTTTTTAAATTAATTTACTAATATTATACAAATTTATTTTTGACAAACATATTTTGAAACTAATAACAAAATTTTTGTAATAAAGTTTTGAAAGATGCAATTAACAAGTTTTATAAATTCTTTACAAATTCAACAGTAACGACTAAAAATACTTCTTTGTTTATTTTTTCAGTGAACCTTTTCATTTATTACAATTAAGACATTTCTCTTAACATTACAATATCACTCTCATTTCTACATTTGCAAATTCTGCCTAAAGTCTTCTTAATTGATTTGGGAAGTAAAATATTTGGATTCTACATAGAATTTTAAAACCTATATTTACAACCTGAGTAATATTATTAATAATTATGAGTTTATAAATAAATTAAAAAAAAGAAAACATTACCCATTTGTATTGATACAGGTTAACTGGGCAAAATACAGTAAACAAGAAAAAAAAAGACAAACAAACAAAAATTATTGTCAAATTACATTATAATGTAGAATCTTTTATAAACTACTTTCTAATACATAATTGGCCGATAAATCAAAAACAAACAAAAAATCAGAAAAAGGTATAAGTAAGTAATGAATGCATCAACATTACCTCTGAGATATCATTATTGTTTTTGGACTCATCTGAATATTTATTTAAATCGCCAAGTTTGACTTTTAAACTACAAAAAATTTGAAGAAAAAAAATTTAAACAAACTTTGAAGATTATCATTGATTGAAATTTGTAAGATATTTGTTAAACAAAATTTTAGACTATTATTATATTTAGTTTATTATTATTTACTTTTATTTTATTAAAATTTTATGTTTAGTTTAGTTTTCAGTAAATAATCTCTATAAAAAAATAATTTGTTTTGTCTTTTTAAAGACTAACTATCTACTACTCAAAAACATGGTAAATACAACTTAACCAAAGTTTACAAGAAAACAACACTAAAGCATAGTAGAAGCGACTAGCAAACAACCGGTGTCAAACATCAGCACAGTAAAGTAATAAATTTAATATAATAGAAACACTTACACACACAAGTTACACTTTGCTTTACTTATTAGTAAAATATTAATAATATTATATATAATTAGTATTCATATAATAATTATATTATACATAATAACTTTATTACCCATATTATAAAAACTATATTATATAAAATATTATTATTTAATGAAACTTTAAATGCTTGAATAAATTTTTTATCTAATTAAACATAAATAAACTTTTTTTTTTTTCCCAAAATATTCAATATTGTGTTTTTTTTTTATTACCAAATAATATCTTTGTTATTAGGATTGCAGGTTTTAGTTAATTTTTGAAAAATATTATTTGTTCATCTCTTTTTAGATATGTTCTTAAAAATATGTTTTCACAACTTTAGAATATTATTTTTAGAAATTTTTATTTAATTTCTTTTTTTTTTTTAATTCTCTCTTTTTAAAGTAATGGCGATTTATGAAAGTTACTTATGCTATATTTTATATTACTATAAAAAATTAAAATAAATATTTACAAAAAAAAAAAAACCGCAAAAACCACAAATTTTTAACTTGTTCAAAATTTAAATACTCTTTAACTTGAAATATAAAAATATAACTTGAAATATAAAAATATTTAACTTTAAAATATGCTTTAAGCGTTATGTAGTACTTTTATATTGAATTTACCAAAGTTTAACTATTAATTAAAAAGCATTATCTTTTAAGCGTGCATTTCATCTACCTCATGTAGAGCATGAGTGTTTCTTTTTAATTTCTGTCCTTGGTTTCATTGTTAACAATATTGGTACTTTTGTTTTCGGACCATTAATTAGGCCCTCACTTTTGGACCCTTACTTAGGTCTACCCTAACCTTGCCCACACTCCCCTAATTCATGGGAACAATTTATGGCTCTTGCAAAAGTATAATTTTTTCATATAAAAAAAATTATTTAAATAAAAAAAGAGATTTTTTTGTAGTGCTTCAGATTATTTTTCAACTATACAAATGGCTTCTTGTTGACTTTATAATATAAGTTATTTTATACAGCAACAATTATTTTGTTTTCAATAGAGCAGAATTTTAGTATTATAAATGTGAATATCAATTTTACATAATTATAATAATTATAATACATTATAATTATAATAGAAATAAAATTCTATTATAACAAAGTTATAATAGAAATAGTAAAAAACTGCAGAGCTTTTTTAAAGGCACTGTTATAACGACAACAACAACAAAAACAACAACAACAACCAAAAAGCGCTTATTGAAGTGCAAATATTTTTAATTAGATTGGGCTGACTGATAAATATAAAACTAAATAATACACTTTAAATTATGTTAATAAAATAGAAAACTATATAACTGATAAAATATAAAATTATTACACTCTAAATTATTACTTTATTTTATGTAATGTATTACAATATTGATTATAATAATTATATAAATTTGTCTCAATTAAACTAAAAATGAGCAAGTTAAAAAAAAATAATGATAATTAAATTTGTTTTGGTAAAAAAACAATATAAACACTTTTTTTGCGGAACTATTATATGCTGTAAAAATTCTTAAAATTCTATGTCAATAAGAAAATATAAAACATTTTCTACAATCAGTTAAAACATATTTAGCTCTTTGTCAAACTTTTTATTAAATTAGTAAATTTGTTAATGAATAAATGGTTAGCTAGTGTAAAAATGCTTGTCTAAAGAATTTTTTCACGTCGCAATAGTTGTTTGCAAAAGCTTATAAAAACCTCTATTAACAAGTTGTTTAGAGAAGCAGCTCACATGACTCGCCATGTTCATTTTAGGAGAGCTTTTTGCCGCTCTCGCACTCATATACTCCCGCTAAAGCCTGGATCTTCATCTGATTCTTTAGCAACAATAGCATATTATGTTTATAAAGGTTTATAATGTTCCTTAAAAGTTCATCAATTACTACCTGTACAATATAAAACACTTTTTAACACATGAACTGTTATTTGAAAAGTTGTATCAAAAGAGGTGGTCTTGTAATGAAAAAGGTTATATATATATAGATTATATTGAAACAAGGTGAGTTTTAATTAAATGAGGAGATATTTTATTTTATTAAAGAAGATAAGAATGTGCTGAGGGAAGTAAATTTTTCAAGGTATTCATTAATAAACAAGGTAATAATTTATGATAGGAGTTGAGATTTTATTATAACAGTGAGATTATGTTAAAGGGAGTAAATTTTGATAAACTATTATTTAAGTTTAAAAAAAAAAAAAAAAAAAAAAAAAAAAAAAAAACATTTTTCATTGAAACTTGTATTTGTTGAGATTATATCACCTTTCAATTTCTAATTCTTGTTGAATGCAAGTTTTATGTTGAGAAGCAACCTGGAATAAAAATGAAAAATAAATAAAAGTATAATTTTTCCAGAGAAATTTCTTTTTTTTTTTTTGACAATCTACCGATCTACATATCTACATAATCGATATGACTGAAACTCAGATTATAAAAATAGAAAAAGAACATAATTTAGTTTTGCATAAATTACAATAAATTTATTTTCCACAAAATATGTCTCAAAATATATAACATACTTTCATATTCTACATTGAGTCATATAATTAGAAAATGAGAAGTAATAATAGTGTTGTATTGCTCTATCAATGATTTGATTTATTTAATTTGATATATGATTGATTGATCTATTTTAGATAAACCAACGGAATCAATGTCCAGTGCTCACTGGAATTATATAAATGCAACAAGGTCATCCACTATGTTGTGAATGTTATTAGCCTCCCAAAGCAGAGGGAGCGGCTACAGTCAAGAAGGAAAATTAATTTTATTAATTTTTTTCTTTTCTTTTATTACTTTTTTACTTTTTCTTTATTTATATTAATCATTACATTAATTTTTTTTTCTATTAATCTTTTATAAGTATTGTAAGGAAGTTTTTTTTAAACACTTTAAACAAGGCTGCAAACAATTACTATTAGAGTTGTTATGGTTACTGGAAGGAAAAAGATGAAGTTTATAGAGCAAGATAATGATTAACAGACAACTCAAAAGATTACTAATTATATGAATCAGAAAAAAAGATGAAGGAAGCGAATTTCAAAGAATTAATGTTCAAGGAAAAAACTAGACAAATAAAAATGTTTGGAGCACTTAGGAACAGTCACAGTAAAAATTTGAGACTTAATTAAATAAGTAACACAAGAATGCTAGCTCTTTAAAGCAGCACTCATTCGAGTATTTATAGAAAAGAGAAAGAGAAGCAAATGATGTGATATTGGTTGAAGATTGGCTGCAAGAGCAGGTCCAACAATGTTTATAATGTGTTTTTGCACCTTGTCTAATAGAAGAAGAGCATTGATTTGAAGATCCAGATATGGTATCCATATACAGTATTCCATAGAAGGACAGATTAGAGATTTATAGAGATAAAGAATCCAGAAATGTGATGAGCAGAATAAGGACCTAAGACCTTAGAAATTTTGCAATCGATTTGACATATGGTTTCCCAGAAAGATCAGAAGAGATAATCCTTGAAGACAAAGGGTATATAACTCATCAATTCTATTTCTTTTTTATCACTTTTCATAAATTTGTATCACCACCTACAATTTCGAAATTAGAAACTTGAGTGAGTAAGTTTGAAAAATTGAGAGAAAATCTACTTTTCTAATTTTTATAATTTGTTTTAGTACTTATTTTCCTTTAAATATTTTTAAAACTTTAAAAAAAAAAATTCTTTTCTAAATAAATTTATCTTTTAAAATAAGCTATAGAAACAAATCTTGAACACACTAATCCTTTTTTTTAAATTTGTCTCTAATTTTACAAACGCATTATCCAGCTATTCAATTAGGGTTTGCTTTTCTTTTAATTTTTGCCTAGTAGATATAACTTTAATCAACAAATCCATAAAATTAAATTCTGCTACTTTAATACTGAAAATTCTTTTTTTAGTTTACCAATACACCATTATTTTCATCCAAATATAAGAGATATCAAGAATGAGAATGAACCACAACATTTTGTCAATTGATTAGTTATTGTCAAATTGTGCACATTCTGTTTTATTGCACTTGTGTGATCATAAACAGACCTTTAAAAAAGAAAAAAGAAAAAATTTTGAGGCACAATAAATAGCATATGAAACAACTAAACTCTTCATTATTGTCTGTTACAACAAATTTGTTGTGAAAGTCAATAAGAAAGAGTTCAGTTTAAAAGCCTTTCAACTGATCCTTGCTAGAATCAGCTGTTTAGGAAGATATCAACTAGGACCTATGCAACTTCTTAATAAGCACACCAAAAAAAAAAAAAAAAAAAAATATTTTTGTTATCTACCATATTAATAGTAGAAAAACATGCAGCATTTTATTTTTCATGTACTTAAAGCAACTACTTTTTTCTTCTTCTTTCGTGTACTTGAAGCAACCTTTTTCTTCTTCTTTCATGTACTTGAAGCAACTTCTTTTTTTTTCTTTTTTCTAGCAGATTTATGACAATTTCGACAATATGTAGTAATTGATAAAATATAAGACTTAATATATAAGAATTAATATATAAGACTTGTAGTAACGCATTTTATTAAACTTATGCTTTTCATCCTCTATCTTTAGATACATTAAGTAAACTCTTTAAGATGTTGAGTAAATTTGACTGCTGCACTAAGGTGAAATTGATCAGCTGGCAACTTTGAAAAGTGTTAGTTATCATTGAGGAAAGGAATCATTAAAGAACCATTTTAGTATACTGATGATTGCATTTTCTAACGTTATGCGATATCTCTAAGGAACTCTAATTTTGCTATTTGGAGTATACCCTCCTAAATATTTAACAGAACATCATAGCATTTATACTTAGACATGTTGCTTTCAAAGCTTTTTAGTTCAATAGGCCCTTAATAAAACTTCCCCAAATATTAGTTGCTTTATTGGCAAATCCTTCATCCTCAATCCAGCATTTCAGACAGAATCTAATTAATGCTAAATTTTAAATTTGAAAGAACTCTAACTTCCTTAAAACTCTAAGACACAGTTGCTGCTGTATTTTACAATAGGAAGTAAATTGCTGAAAACAAAATAAACTGCATACTTTTAATATACACATGTTGTAAGTTGTAACCAATATATGCATATATTTAAACTGATCTAACATCAGGTTAGCCAGAAATAAATTATATAAAAGTAAGTAGAATTTATATCATTCTCCTCCCCAACACTCCCAAAAAGCATGTACAAATCATTAACATATACAAATCATCAACACTAAACTAAATCTATATCAATAACATACTAAAAATTGAAACATTGACAAACATTAACATTTAATTGAGGTTGAGTAATTGAACAAAACTTTTTGAAATAAATTTTTTTGAGTTACAAATCAGCATCTATTAAAAAAAAAAAATTTTAATTTAAATGACTTTCAGTTCCTCTTTGCCTTGAAAATTGCTATTTTGGTTTAAAAAATACTAAACCTCTATTTATAGTAAAGGCATGTAAATAAAAAGCAGATTTTATGAAATAGCTGAAAAGAGTCCACTTGTTGTCCTGACAGATTTAAAGATGTACGGCAAAAGTTTCAGAACTTATAAAAGTTTTCTATTGAAGCCCCTAGTTTAGTAGTATTTTATTTCATTTAACATATTGGTTGGACAATCAAAAGACATTGCAATAGTCAAACAAATGTTTAAAAAAAAATCCAGCAATATTAAACTTGACATAATTATTAAACTTGACATAATTAATTATTAAACTTGACATAATTAATGCTCTGCTGTAGAAAAACAATATCTAATTTTATTTTTCCCGGAACAAAAAGCAAAAAATAACAACTTTTTTTTCATTCTTGAAAAACAAGAAAACAATTTGATTCTTGAGGATATGATTTCTTGTCTAATCTCTAATTGGTATGCGGTAGTGGTGTAGTGGTAGAGCGCTCGCTTCATAAACGAATGTTTCTGAGTTCGATCCTCACCATGTCCCTGGTAGTACCGCGCTCAACTCAACAATAAAAAAGGTAATTCTTGAAATATGTTTATTTTATTTTTCTCCTCCACAAATGAGATTTAATGATGCAAAATAAATTTCCAACAGTAAAATAGCAGTATATATTTGTTACAACAAAAGTAAAAATAATTGACAAAATACAATGGTAGATAACAGTCAGATAACAGTTAGTTTGTATGATGCTCATTGTGCATCTTCAACTTAGGAAAGCTGCGAGCTGTAGTAACATTAGAGCCTATCAAAGCTTGTCTTGAAGCTATTGACTGTCAGAAAATCAATTACTTTTTCTGATAAGATGTTCCATGCATTGACAATGCGGTTGTTATAAAAGTTAAAACAAGCTAAATAGTTGCTTCATTTTTAGCAGTCTTTTTTAGAAGTATCACTCTGTGATTTTGCTCTTGGTGGAATTGTGATAGGAAGAAAGTGCCAGTTGACTATGTCAATAATATTATCAATCTTATTTTTATTATCAATCAATTTTAGAATGAGGTCACCTTGCTTACAACGGTCGACTAGATAAGTTAGGCCGAGTTATAAACAATTTCATCTCTTTCTTGTTAAAATACTTGTTTAGACTTTTTTAGCTCCAGAGCTGAAACAAGTGGTAAGCAAGTGAATAAGTGGCAATTTTAAAATAAGGTTTTTTATTTTGTTTATTTTGACTTTTAATGCAGGTTTGGACAAATGGGTTTTTCAAATATCTCTCACTAAATATCTCTCTTTCTCTTTATATATATATATATATATATATATATATATATATATATATATATATATATATATATATATATATATATATATATATATATATATATATATATATATATATGTATATATATATATATATATATATATATATATATATATATATATATATATATATATATATATATATATATATATATATATATATATATATATATTAGGGTGTTCCAAAAAAATGACTTTTTTGAATTTCAACTAACATTGCTTTTCATAAGGTGCCCCAACCTTGATATTACTGATAAATTTTTTTTTTTCATGATTAGATCACTCCATGACTTCCCTCAATGAGCCCAAAGGTCATTTTTTGCCCGTTTTTTGCCCATATTTCGGACTAGCTGAGAGGAGTGTTACCATTATCCAAATTAATTTTTCTTTCTTTTTTTTTGTTGTTTTATATTTTTGAAGGAAATAATAATATAATGTTTTTTACTTAAACAATGAAGACCAAAAAATTAAAAAAAAGGCATTTTTAAGCATTTTTGCACTATATTAGTGTTCTGCTTATTAGCAAGATACTTTACGTATTAAAATATTTATATTTACATAATAAAATCATATTTATGATTAGTTTCTGAAGAAATTAGTTGTCAAACATAGTTCATGTTTATAAATTTATTTTGTAAACAAAGAATTCTTTACATAATCACATTTTTTTTAAATTGTTCTTTCACTCTTATATTTGTTTGATACGAGGAAGGTACTTTGTCTTTTATCCTCATTATGCGATTTATTGATCAACTCCTATTAAAGAATTATTTATATAACTTTATATAACTCCTATTAAAAGAATATTTAAAAGTAATGAGCTTGTAAAATAAATTAAGATTTTAACATAAACATTAAGGACCAAACATATAAAATAGTTACCTGAACTAGTTTTATAGCCCTCTCACTACAGTCATTTACTACTTCAAGATTATTCACAAATTGTTTGAATTCTAAGTAATAGTCAATTAGATCCCATGTCTCAGATGGAGTCTTAAGCCACTGTACTTCAGCATTTGAATGGTTTAAGATATGAAAAATTAACCAACTCTAGTCAGTTATAAGCGGGGTCAAACTTGGGGGAGTATCATCATTAAACATAAGGGAGTTCAGTATATTTAAATTAACTTGATGTCTTTCTATGGCATAAGTTGTAGGTCTTGGGGTTGAGTACAACTTCTTGGCAATGTCACTCCGTTCTTGTACATTTTTGTCAACAAGAGATATTTGGGTCTATGTACCAGGTGTGTCTCTTTAGAGACTCTATAACAGGTTTTGCCTGGACAGGATTGATTTTTGAGTATCTCATCATCTGCCAAAGAGCTTTCATATCCTAAAGATTTTTAGACTATGAAATATTACACAAAATTTTCAAAGAAAAAAAAGTAATAAAAAGCAAAATGATTAAAAACTTTTAAAACATAGAAATGTCACCTGATATGGAGCGACAGCCGGAATTTCAGCCTTTATAAACCACTCAGTGTAAAATACAGCTGTGAAGAATGCCATATCATTTATTTCTTTCTTCAAGCTAGAAATGTTGTTTAGAAGGAGATACATTTTCAGAAAGTATATTCCCTTTGCCATAAATCTGGCATGGTGTACAGGCCCAGGTTTTCTTAGCCTGTACTGTTCATCACCAGATAAAACCATTGTTGTCAATTCCACTAACTCTAGATAATCAGACCTACATCCATCCTAAATAAGATTATTTATTTAGACACAAAACAGTACCTTACTAAACTTATTTTATTATAGAGTATTCACTTTATTCAAAATTTTAAATACCTTTTTCATTGTTTTCATTCTGATAATATTTTGAGAAAAAGATAAGGCTTTTTTGAACTGTACCTGCAGCCAGCTATCAGAAATATCTTCAATTTTTACTTTGTTTAACACAATGGAATTTTGATCAATTGAGTTCCATACATCTTTAAGCTTCTTAAACAATGGATTATCTGGACCATTTATTTTACTGCTTGGATAAATGTTCCAGCAGTGAATAATATGCCTTTCATAGATGTGATGCCTACATGCTAGGAGAAGTAGTGATCTATCAAGCTCTGCAGCTAATCTAATGCACACCACCTTTTTATTACCAGTATTTACAGTTGTATCAAAAACGCATCCTTGTAATTTATCATAAATATCAAATTGATGAAGAAGTTTTATGATTGTATTCTTCTGTGTTTCTCCAGTACTAGAGCTCAAATGAGGAACCCCAAGAAGCTCACTCTGTCCATCTATCCTGATGGAAACAGCAAGTCTGTCAAGTTGATGTTCTATTCCGCTTGTGAACTCCTTAACTATTTTTCCATCAAAATGGAGAATAATTGGTAATGATGAAGATTTAACAAGATCAGTAACGTGCTTTTTAATCTTTTCTCCCTCTTTAGTTACAACTTCTTCTGCAACTCTAAATGCGGTTGAAGAAGATATTGCAAAATTAGTAACATCACCTCCTGAATTAGCAATAACACTTGCCACTATTGCAGTGTGTTGTCTAACTGAAAGTCCTTCACCTATTGCTGTGAGAGCTGTTTTTTTTAAAATATTTTTTGGTAACAAAACAACAGAGGTAGATTGTTCTTTTTTTGTATCTGCTACATATTCACAGTCAGAATTATTATCACTACTTGAAGAGTTTTCTAAACTGTATAGATTGTTACCATTGTTTACTTTAATCTCCATGTTTAACATGGAACACAATTTTTTGTGGGATCTCTTAATAGTGTACGTAAACCTTTTATCATTTGTTCCTATTCTTCCTATCCTATATCCAATTTGGTCTAAGATAAACACAATATCTTCATTTTTGGCTTCGGATGTCCTTCTCTTGTCTTTTATAATATCTTCAATTAGTTCTCCTTTTTTTTTACTAATCCAAAAGCATTTTAACATTTCTTCAAAAAATGCCTCATTCCTTTTCGTATCTGTTGGGCTGTTCCTTTTGCTATTCTTCTTTAACTTGTAATAGTTGTTCACCATTTTATCAATCTTCTTTCTTTAAAATGCAAAATTTATTCAATGTTTAAAATAAAGATAAAAATAAATTTGTTGATAAATTTTGAATTCATAATTTACCTGATATTTTCCAAGGTTATGATAGGAAACCCTGCAAGATTCGATGGCCTTACCAATTTAGACATTACACAACAGTCAGCTTGTGGAGGGCATCTGAGCTCAAATGAATTAATTTCGAAATGACACCTAATTAAAACCGTTTTCTTTACTTTGGGATTCAAGTTTCTTAGATATAGGTAGTATTGCAAAACCTCTATGCCAGTAGGAAGTTTATAACATGAAAGATTTTCTCTAACTTTCTTTACTAGAAATACTTCAGCCTTATTTCGAGTAAGCTTCAACTTCTTTTTTGGTGGCATTTTACTATAAAATAACTTTTTTTTAAGTTAATTAGTTACTAAAAAGATAAATGGTAACCAAAAATATAAAATAAGTTAAAAATCAAATTGCATACACAAGGTAAAATATAATTGTTCACAAAATGAAACAATTATACGCGTATTTAAAATATAACAGAAAACACATTAAAATGGTACATAGGACAAAGGTAGTAAAAGGTAGTGAAATATAGTAAAATAAATCAATGTTTTTGAATTTTTTGATATTCATTGTTCAAATAAAAAAACAAATTAAGCTTAACATTATATTTTTATTTTCTTCAAAAAGATAAAATAACAAAAAAAAAGAAAGAAAAATTAATTTGGATAATGGTAACACTCCCCTCAATTAGTCCGAAATATGGGCAAAAAACGGGCAAAAAATGACCTTTGGACCCATTGAGGGAAGTCATGGAGTGATCTAATCATGAAAAAAAAAAAATTATTAGTAATATCAAGGTTGGGGCACCTTATGAAAAGCAATGTTAGTTGAAATTCAAAAAAGTCATTTTTTTGGAACACCCTAATATATATATATATATATATATATATATATATATATATATATATATATATATATATATATATATTATATACATATGAATTAAATATTTGAAATAGCCCATTCGTTCACTATTTGTTGGTAATAAGTTATGAATCGAGTATTGTTTAGTGTAGATGGATTTAAACATAAAAAGACCACCTGTACTGTTATTCTTAAAACCATAATATTATTATTATTAAACATTATATTTATCACTAAAACATTATTATTATATATTATATTTATAATACAAACCTTAGTTTCTAAATTTGCAATACGACAAGCAGTTTCATGCTCTAAATTTTGAAAAGTTTCTTGCTTTCGATTCAACTGAGCCTGTTAAAAATGATATATATTCAAAAATATAGTAAAATAAAAACAGATATTAAATAACCAACCGAACAAATGGTAGCATTAATTATGAGTAAAAAAAATATCTATTAGATTTTTAATACTATAACTTATTTCAACTATTTCATTATAAATTGGTATTTTATTATTTATATAGTTTATATTATTAATTATTAGAAAATGCAAATAAAGCATATGATTGAAGTAAATATTATGCTTTTTTTCATAAATTGATAACTAAGTACAAAAAAAATTATTATTTAAAAGAACATAGAAACATATTATTATTTAAAAGAACATTATCATTAAAACATTATTATTTAAAAGAACTAAGAAACATAAAAGAACAAAGAAATAATAAAAATTTATTTTTCTTTATTTTTACCAAAATATGCTTAACAAGCAGTAACATGCTTAAAGCAGTTAGAGTCAGGGAAAAAAAAAATTAAAGAAAATCTTTCAACATTTATTCAATCAAATTTCATTTTTAAATTTCATTGACAATATACTTCATCAATCACAATTGACATTGCCAAGCCAAATAATTTTGTAGGAAAAGAACAAAAATTAAGCCAAGTTAGATAGTAAGTATTAAAAAGATTACATAATTAGGATAGTGAATAATAAAAACTACAAATAAATAAAATATACTGTATATGAATCATCTAACATGTAGTTGAAGTTATACTTTTTATGGGTAGAAAAGTTACTGCTGGCATATGACAGTTGGCATTGACTTACCAGAGTTCTACTTACCAGCGTTCTAAAGATCAACTGTTAAACCATGACTAGGATTGGCTAATTGATTGGCTAATTGATATGTTAAATCATGAATTTTATTTAAAACAATTTATAATTTAAAACAAATTTAAACTTAAGTAGGTTCAGAAAAACTCAACTAATTATAAACTTTTAGGAAAAAAAAGAACTTCAACCATCTGTTATTGTTTCCAAGCAACAAATAAAGATGCATGACTGAAAATATATATGATAACAATATTGTATTTTTTACTTGCTCATTCTTGATTATTTGATTCTGATCTCTTTCGCTTCTACTTTATTATTTCAACGCTGAAATCTTAATATCTCTTTCTGTTTCTATGATCAAGCATTTTTTATCTACATAGAATAACTCTCATGGTAAAACATAACTAAATACTTTAAAGAAAGCTTAAAGTACACAAGATAAAGACATCACAATATAAAAAAAGACAATAATAAGTAAAAGATAACAAGATAAAAACAAGATAAAAACAACAAGATAAAAACAACAAGATAAAAACAACAGGATAAAAACAACAAGATAGAAACAAGATTAAAACAAGATAAAAACAACACAATAATAAAAACATAATAATACACAAAACAATAATAAAAGAAAAAACTGAACACTAAACCCTGATGAACACCAATCTTTATTTAAAACTCTCAACTAATTAACTTTAATTGATGTTGTGAAATTTTTTACAAAGCCACGATAAATCTTAGCATTCAAACGGTTACCAAACATCTTTTAACACCTAAATACCCTAAAGTCTTGTTACTTTCTTTCCAAACCTCAATACAAACTGCATGTTGACAATAAATATACTTCCTTATTTGTTGGCGCAAATATTAATTAATACGCTGCTCTCTTATTTGCTGACAATAATTCTTATAAAAAATTTAATTATGATAATAACCTCTGGTTATGCAATTTTATTTAATTTTATTCAATTATAGTTAATTGCAACCACATACTAATGAATCTTCAGTTCTTTTGCAAGAATTAAGCATTCATCTTTAAACCCAATTATTATTGAATTTTGATATGACATGGTTTAGAGAGTAATATAATTGAATTAAAATTTGTTTGTTTGATATGTTTCTTGTTTTGTATAAAATACCAATACTCTTTGAAATATTATTACACAAGTTTGCAATACCATGTTTTTAAGTAAGATTTTATTTAATTTATGCACCTAGAAATTTTGTTACTAAAACTTTTTTAATAAAAATATCATCAATAATAAGGAAAACCTTCTCATAAATTTGCATTGATCTGACTTCTACTAAACACTTACATTCTCTAATGGTTTCAATGTGTCAGCCTTTACACCGAAAAAGGACCAGCAGCTTTGCTTAACTGAGCTCTCATTTTTCTAAATAAGAAAAATGGCTAAATAAAATCCACCTTGTTTTTACAACAAGCAAAGTTTTTTAATCAAAGCATACTTTGTTTTTTTTTCCAAATCTACACAGAGACCTCTTTTCTTTACTTCAGATTTTTTACTAATTTCATGTCAAAAATAACTTAATTGTGTTCTGGAATAACTTCAACTTTTTTTATTCTTATTTTTTACATCAAAATTTCTGATTAAGAATTAGCCCACTCATGTTAGAAAGCCAACTGACTCTCAGTTAATTTCTTTTAATTAACTGTATCATATAAAAAACCGAAACATTATAGCATTTTAAACCTATAGCATTTTAAAGTTCTAAAATTTATCCTTCAGTACTGTTAAACACCTTTTTCTTATGCAATCCCTTAAAACTGCCTGTGACTGCACTAACATGCCTGTTCATGTCTCAAATAAAGTCAGTCTCTTATTTTTTTCCCACCATTTTTCAAGACAATAATTTTAGCGCGGCTACTATTCTAGTATGTATCTTTTAAGTAGAATATTTATGACCATGTTTGCCTAAATTTTTGCTCTTTCATAAATCTCTCTAATATAAAAAAGTAACCTTTTTTTACGTAAAAAACAACTGTAAAGATTGTGATTTTTTATTCTTGTCTTTTTTAAAGGATTTGAAAGAAATTTTTTTTACTAATTTGAAAGAAATTTTTTTTACTACATGGAAAACATACATGAAAACCTGCGACTTGGCTATTTCCTAAACTTCACAAATCCTTTTTCAAACAAGTTCACTTTATTATTACGGCTCTATTTTTTGAAATAACTATTTCTGTTTGTTATTTTTGAGCTTGTGATACAATAATATTTTTTTTTTAATTCGTAAAATTTTACACTAGTTTTTAAACTAAAAACATTTTTTTTAACTCTTAAACTAATAGAGAATCAGGTAACATTTAATACTTATACAACTGAAATAACTTTCCTCAACCCAAACCGGTCTGTCAATGTATGCACACATATTTTCATTAATTCTCATAATGATATCCTCTATTTTTTTCTCATAATGATATCCTCTATTTAATTCTCTATTTTTTTGTGTCTGGATATAAACTTAAGTTAGTAGAAAATCACTTATTAAATTGTTTTTATTTGATACTGTGTTTTGACAACAAAGACTTTTTAGAAATGATGATGACCCATTTCTGATGTTTATTAAGGTAATGCAATATCACTACCGAACTATTGAAGTATCAAAAAACATCAAACTATCGGTAGTAATGATATTGAAAGTGCAATATCAAAAAACTAAATTTCAATATCAAGTGTTTAAAAGTGAAAACATTTTTTCGAATAATGAAAATTGTTCCCATTACTACCAAAGTCCCTTTTGCCACTACCGAACTCAATATCAAAAAAAAAAAAATTTTTGAAATAAATTTAATTATAAATATTTTGAAAAAAAATCAACTTTCTATAATACAAAAATCTCTTTTATTTGAACTTTTATTTTTCCCCATAAAATTCGAATTAGAGAAATTCTACTGTATTAAGTAAATTTCATAAAATAACTAATTTTCAATTATTTTTATGGTTTAATTTTTTTATTGCAGAGGTTATTTATTTTAAAAATAAAATTCACAGATCTGTCTAAAATTGTGAGAATAACATTGTTTTATTGTTTTGAAGAAAGTGACATCTTAAGAGTTGATAATGCCAAGAGCAAGTCCTTATTGGGAATTCTTTCAAAAAGATATTCACTGTAAAGATGTTGCCCAATGCAAACAGTGCCCATCAAAAATAAGCACCAAGCTAGGCAGCACCACAGGACTAAAGTTTCATCTTTGAGGCTGCCACAAAGACATTTTTAACACACAGTGTCACAAAATGGCCATCAACCTTAACCTCATGTCCCGAGAAAACCCTTTGGTGGGATGATAGCCCACATATAGTAGATCACTTAGATATAAATTTGGAAATCGAACTATGACGTCCAAGAGAGATATTTTAGTTTTTATTTTCTATAATTCTGGCATATCAAAATTTAAATGAGATGATAGGAATTTGGCATTTTTACAGCATTTTTGTTGTTACGTTGCTTAGAGTACTATTTTTCAAATCCCTTGTGGAATTTGTGAAAGATGTGGCTATTCGCAGACGAGAAGAAGGGGAGGATGCACCTATCCCAAGGCTCTTTGATTTCAGCACCATCTCAGTTCAGCGTGCTGCAACAAATATTCCTTGTAATTGTTTGATTTGTCAAACTGCAAGGACAAATATGAATCAGTGTCATCCTTTGGAACCACCGAAACCCAAAGAAAATTCAAGCATTGAAAAAAGATGCACTGATTGCTTCTCTGTGATTGGTCGTGGATTGCCTCACAATTGCACAACAGGAACATTAAGGCAAAATTTAGTGGAAGTTGCTTCAAGGGATCGCATTGCGGCAGAGAGGGTAGCATCATTAACAATTGCTAATAAAACTCCATCACCTCATGGCACTGTTCGGCTAAGTCAACCACTTGGAAGAAATTGTTTTCCTGTTGTTCCAGGTAAAGCAATATAGATTTAAGCATAAATCACTTATAAATTTCTTTTAAAATGTAAATGTAGAAAATTTTAACCTCAGCCATTAAATGTTCTTTAGGACCATCAAGTGCAAGAGAATTGTTTCCTGCTGTGCCCAAGCTCACGGCACAAGACATGGTTGGAGTCCAAATTGGAACTAGATTGTCAAATTGTGGCATGTCCAAATTAGCATCATCTTTGAACCAAGCTACACCTCTCCGGATTGTAGAAAAAAAATTCAGAGAAAAATTCAACAGTTTCGGGAAATCTCTTTCTGAGCATTTTGAGACCAAGGCCATACGAGATTCTACAAAGAATGATGACCACCCTTCACGACTGCTTGTTTTTTGCCCAGATGTAGGAAAACTTGCAAACCACGTTATCAAAGTAAGGAATGTTTTAGGAGATCCACTGATGAAGATTGGCATTGATGGAGGTGATGGGTTTTTGAAAGTATCTCTTGAAATCATTGCCAGAAACACAGATTCAAATTCTCCACCACCAAAACGAGGGCTTAAAGCCACAGGAGTCAAACGGCAACTTCTGGTGGCAATTTCAGAAGATCTGCCAGAGAGTTATGACAACTTGAAAAGCATAATTTCTTCTCTTCAACTTCACAAACTTTCTTACATAATCTCTTGTGACATGAGTCGCCAATCTTGTTTGTGGTCTTCAGTCCCATGCAAGTGCACATCCTTGTTCATGGTGTGATGCAGAATCAAAAGATTTGAGTCACTCTGGAAGTCTCAGAACACTTGGTTCAATTCGAGAAAACTTTCTGCAGTTTCAAAGCAGTGGTGCCAATGCAAGGAGAACAAAAGACTTCAAAAACGTCATCCATGAACCCATAATGACTCTGCCAGATGACACACTGATTTTGGACATCATTCCTCCCATGGAACTTCATCTGCTTCTTGGAGTTGTTAACCATCTCTACAAAAGTTTATGCCAGATTTGGCCCGCAGCAAAGGAATGGCCAGCAGCCCTTCATATTCAAGAGCATTCTTTTCATGGTGGCCAATTTGCAGGGAATGACTGCCGCAACCTCTTGAAAAACACTGATCGCCTTCAAAGTTTAGCTGAGCAAAGCTCATTTTTTCTTGCTGTGCCATTTGTTGAAACATTGAGACATTTTGACTCAGTGGTGAATGCTTGCTTTGGAAATCACTTGAGCCCCGATTTTGAACAAAAAATTTTACAGTTTCAGGAGTCGTACCTGAAGTTGCCAAATACTTCAGTCACTCCCAAAGCACATGCGGTGTTTTTCCACCTGAAGGATTTCATCCTTAGACACAATTCTAGTCTTGGCATTTTCTCAGAGCAAGCTACAGAATCTCCTCATCACGACTTCAGTTCCAAATTATTAAAAAAAAGTGTCCAAATTATTATTAAATCTCAGCAAAAGATTTCCAGAGTGTGTCTCAGGTTTGAGCAGCAATGCATTAGCTCATTTCCTTGATTTCAAATTTAAAGGTCACTTGCCATCAAGATTTAGAAGAGAGGGTCTTACTATTCCACAGTTGAAAAAATGTGCTTTAGGAGATGAGAAAGCCCAAGAGATTCAACATTTGCCAGCAGCAAGCACACCTCAAGAGCAACAAGACCTTTCCCCAACTGAGGCACTCCTTAAAGAGACGACGAGCCACAACAGCCAGAAGTTACCTAACTTTTGCATAAAACATCACCATTTGAAACTGAAATGGAAGCGTACAAGTGACTAGGTTTTCCACCAAAAAATTTTGACATTTTAAATTGGTGGAAGATTCACTCTCCTCAACTACCTCTTGGCAGGAGTAGCCAGAAAAGTTTTGTGTATTCCAGCACCATCAATGTCATCTGAGAAAATGTTTTCACAAGCAGGAAACATTGTTATGTGCAAAAGAACATTTTTTAAATCAGACACAATTGAAAAACTTAAATATTATATCAAAAGCTGTTATTAAGAAGTGGTCAGTTGAAAAAGACAAGCAGAACATTGATGAAGACTTTGATTTGTACTTTCATTAAAATTTTCTGGTTTAACACCACTTGAAAATATTTTTTCTGATTCTTTAAAAAATTGGAGCTTAATAAATAATTTCTTTTTGTCTCATAAAAATTGTTTATTGATGTAAGGAACTGATATTTTGCCGATTAAGTGGAGCATTTGTGAAGTTAATAGGTTTAAATACTGTAAATAGCAAGTTATATATCAAAAGAACCAAACACCAAAAGAGGTGTTTGGTTCTTTTGATAGTGGCGATAATTTAAGTTTACACTATCAAACACTATCAAAAGACATTATTTCATACCCAACTTTTAAAAGTGTTGATATTTAAAAAACTTACTTTTAACTTCATTATCATAACTTCGGTAGTGATTGGTTATTAATACCGACCAGAATATAATACCGACTTTTCTCACTACCGCAATCCCTTAATGTTTATTGATGAAACACAAAATAAAAAATGTTTCATAACTGATTTTCTACTAATATACAAATGCTGTTCATTTAAAAATATTGAGCACTCTATTTTGTAGAATACATTTAAAATTATTTGTATGTGTACATATATATATATATATATATATATATATATATATATATATATATATATATATATATATATATATATATATATATATATATATATATATATATATATACATATATATATATATATATATATATATATATATATATATATATATATATATATATATATATATATATATATATATATATATATATCAGGCCTTGGCATGAAGCGGGAGTGATTGCTCCTGTCACGTGAAACACGCTCATTAATGGAATATTTATATTAATATTGCGGGGGCAATAAAAAACGCTTGGTGATTAAGTTATGAGGGTAAAAAATCGCGCTTGTCGTAAAAATTTGTGAGGCAGAAAACTAATAATGGTTTACTTGATTTTATATTAATATAAGTTTATAAAAGTTTAAATTTATATAAGTTTATTAATATTATTAAATTGTGTAACAAATACAAATTAATTACGAGAAACATTGTTAATTTAATTTTGTAAAAGCATTTGCTAAAAACAATATGTATAATAATAAACGTTTTTATTTAATTTCGAAAAAAAAAATTCTAAAGTCATTAATGTTTTCGGCCAAAATTTAAGTAAATTTAAAAAGCTTTTGTTATAAAAACTATAACTTATATTATTTATAACTTAAATAAAATTATAAATTTATTTGAGAAAAAGAAATGTTTAAGTTTGTGAAAGCGTTTTCTAAAAAAGATAAAAGTTTTATTAACATTAGCAACGAAAAAATATTAAATATGTTTTAACAAAAGAAATCGTTATTTCATTGTTTTAATGTTTTAATGACGCGAAAATTTTATGAATTTATATTCTAATTAAACGAATGAAACAATGAGAAAAATGAAAGCTTATGAACTTCTTTCAAATAAATTTGATGTAATAATAAAAAAATATTGACTGCAGTATTAAGTTAATGATGAAGACAATAACAAAGAAAACACATTAAAAATAATTCTATTTTTTAAAACAAGATCATAACACAATCAGATGCGATCAAATAATAAATAAGTATTTAGGAAGTCTTAAGAATTTTAAAAATTTTGACAGGCGATGCGCTGCCAAATAATAGTTATAAAATATTTGCCATCTAAAGAACGCTGTATAACAAATTAAAACTTAATAAAATTGTGTGGAACACCCTTATCCTAAAATAAAAGATCGCTCTCGATAACTTAATGAGGAGCGCACATAACTGCGTTCGCTAAAAAAATATTTGAGTTTTACGGGCGCGAAACATCGCGCTAAACAATATATATATATATATATATATATATATATATATATATATATATATATATATATATATATATATATATATATATATATATATATATATATATATATATATATATATATATATATATAAAATTTAAAACATTTATGTTATATACAAAGTTATATTTTTTGCAATACTATTTTTATGATAATATATATGATTTATTAGTAAATAATACAAATTACTAACTTGATAAATAAAATATCAAGTTAGTAATATTTAAACATAAAATCCAAAAAGAATTTATCAA